TAATTTTGTGTACACATCCCGGTGCCAAGTTCCAGTCTTCTGCAATAAACACCTCCAGAGATATGCAATTTGCATGGGAGTTGCCACACCACCTTTTCCAATAACTCTCATTTTTTCCATGAGTATGGTATTAGTTTCACATACATACATACATATGTATTTCCATACCAAGCTTGAGTGCTTTACCCCAAACATTTAAAGAGACATACAATATGAAACTTTCAGTCAGTATGGGAGGTGCTACGCCTCTTATCCAAAAACCTCCATTTTTCTCCGTCAATATGAACATGATTTCACACAGTGTTGGCAAACTGTTAATCTGATTAACGATTAAAAATTAACGATTAAAATGTTAATCGCGTTTGACGATTAAAATTAATGAGTCGTAATCAACTGTACGATTAATGATAACATTTTTTTAATCGTTAATCGCTGGCTGCGATTACGTTTAATTAATTTAAAACATTAATCGTTAATCCAATTAAAAATAAAATCTGATTAATTTGTCTAGTTTTTCCGAGTTTGAAACCAAACACCAGTTATAGTAATTATTTTGTGTTTTACGCTTATAAAAAGCACATAGTAAAAAAAAATTATAATTATTGTTAATAGTAATACATAAACTGGGAACTTTTACAAACCTAGCTTGTAAAACGTTTGTTGGTATATATCTTAAAGAAAATGTACACCAAATTGCTTAGATTGATGAGGAAGCCCGACTTAGCCATACCGGTTTAACTTGCTTTGTGTGCACATGGAAATTCCAGCATAACTTAATTAATCACCGAACCTACTTGATCAAATTAAGAGTTAACGATTAAAAATTAATTTTTTAATCGCGGTTACGATTAACTGTTTAGTCAGATTAAATTAATCATGATTAACTGTAATCAGATTGAATTAATCGAATTAACTAACTAATTAAAACAACAATCGATTAATGCCATCATTGATTTCACATACATATCACTATACCAAGTTTCAGTTCTCTCCCACAAATACTTTCAGAGATATGTATGTAATATGAAAATTCCAATTTGTATGGGAGGGGCCTTGAGTTATCGGACTTACTTTCAGTCTAAGACCATCCTTCCGAAATCCGTAGTAAGTGTACTAAATTTCCTTCTGATCGGAAAACCGGTTAGGGAAGATTTTTTTTTGTTCAATCCAGGTCATAAACCATCTTTGAACAAAACTTCATTTTCAAACAGGTGGAAATTCTTAAAAAAATAGCCTATTTTCCAGTCTAGGTCATAAGCTATATGTGTGCAAACTTTCATGCAAATCAGTTCAGTCATTTACGCGTATTAATTTAATTAAACTTTTTTAGCAGGTGGTAACTCTTAAAAAAGTAGCCTATTTTCCAGTCTAGGTCATAAGCTATATGTGTGCAAACTTTCATGCAAATCAGTTCAGTCATTTACGCGTATTAATTTAATTAAACTTTTTTAGCAGGTGGTAACTCTTAAAAAAGTAGCCTATTTTCCAGTCTAGGTCATAAGCTATATGTGTGCAAACTTTCATGCAAATCAGTTCAGTCATTTACGCGTATTAATTTAATTAAACTTTTTTAGCAGGTGGTAACTCTTAAAAAAGTAGCCTATTTTCCAGTCTAGGTCATAAGCTATATGTGTGCAAACTTTCATGCAAATCAGTTCAGCCATTAACGCGTAATAATTTAATAAAACTTTCCTAATACGTGATAACTCTTAAAATAGTAGCCTATTTTCCAACATAGGTCATAAGCTATCTCTGTGCGAAATGTCATGCAAATCTGTTCAGTCGTTTCCGCGTATTAATTTAATTAAAACTTTTTTAACAGGTGGCAACTCTTCCAAAAAATTAGCCTATTTTCCACTGTAGGTCATAAGCTATCTGCTTGCAAAATTTCATGCAAATCCGTTCAGACTTTTCCGCGTATTAATTTAATTAAACTTTTTTAGCAGGTGGTAACTCTTAAAAAAGTAGCCTATTTTTCAACCAAGCTCATAAGCTATCTGTGTCAAAAATTCCATGCGAATCAGTTTACTCATTTCCGCGTATTAATTAAATTAAACATGTCTAACAGTTGGCAACTCTTAACTTTCTAACCAAGGTCATAAGCTATCTGTGTGCAAAATTTCATGCAAATCCGTTTAGTCGTTTCCGCGTATTAATTTAATTAAACTTTTTTAGCAGGTGGTAACTCTTAAAAAAGTAGCCTATTTTTCAACCAAGCTCATAAGCTATCTGTGTGCAAAATTTCATGCAAATCCGTGCAGTCGTTTCCGCGTGATGATTTCCCAAACATCCAAACATACAAACTTTCACATTTATAATATTAGTAAGAAGTAAGATAAGATTAGTAAGATAAGATTATTGAGTTACTTCTGAGTTACTTGTAATTCAAAACACTTAGAACTTTATTTTTCTTTTTGATATCTAAATTAAAGCTATACCTATTTTTAGCAGTCATATTGTAATTTTGGTCATGAAGAGTTTGCAGAGAAAACATGTAAAATAAAACCGGTTTATCCGGTTTGTTCTTGATTAGAAAATTGGGAACCGGTTTTTTTTTCAAATTGCAATTTTTCGAATAACTCGAAAACGGGTTTTCGAAAAATGGCGAAAAGTTGAACACCCCAGTATCAACTCTTTGCCTTTGCATTAACACATTTCAGAATATACCCACACTAACCAAAGTTACTTTTCATGTGATGAAATAGCAGTTAATATCTTTGATGGTACTGTATCTGGATTTAGGTGTATTCTTTTCACTTGATTTCACTTGATATAAAGCGCAGAGCGCAATCATTCGATGATGCGGCCAGTTGAACATCACACTAGTGATGCACAGAACCGAGAAACTGGAGAACCAGGCCATTTAGAGAACCTACCCGTCCGGTTCTTTCAAGAACCGAAAAATGGTTCTAAAGGAACCGAAAAGCCAAAAGAATCGAAAAACGGTTCCAGAAGAACCGGAAAATTATCTCAGAATAACCGAAAAAATATTGATTGTTTTGGCATAAAGTCTAAGTATGAAGATATCAGCCCAAACTTCGGTTTAGTTACAGTCATTCACAGAAGTATTCGTAAATTAGTTTTTTCACAATATTCAAAATGTTTTCCATCATAAATCTTTTTCGCTAATTTTCATTGAAAATATAGCTCATTCTATACCGAAAATCATATAAATCATTCTTGCAAACTTTGTACAAAATTCATAAAAATGAATCAAACTTAAAAAAAATTTCTTCAAAATTTCAAACTTTTTATTCAGAATTTTTGGAAAAATTTTCAGCCAGTTCAATTTTAGTATAATAAAGTGCGAGTTTCAGGCAGCTAAAAATTACTGCTGATTTTTTTGAATTTTTTTTTGTCGAGAGTGTTGCGCATTTTCTTCCATATAAAAATAAATTTTGTTCATATTGAAAAAATGCGCTTACTGCTGATTTTTTAGAATTTTTTTTGTCGAGCGTGTTGCGCATTTTCTTCCATATAAAAATAAATTTTGTTCATATGGAAAAAAATGCGCAACACCCCCGACAAAAAAAAATCTAAAAAATCAGCGGCAATGTTTAGCTACTTGACACTTGAACTTTATTATACTAAATTGAACTGGCCACAAAACTGCATACTGAAAAAATATTAATATAAAAATTCTGAATAAAAAATTTTTAATTTTTATGACAATTTTTCGATTCATTTTTATGAAATTTGTACAAAGTTTGCAAGAATCATTTATATGGTTTTTATCATAAAATGATCTATATTTTAAATGAAAATTAACGAAAAAGATTTATAATGGAAAACATTTTGAATATTGTGAAAAAAGCTAAATTACGAATACTTCTGGAGTGACTGTATGTATTAAAGAGTTCAGAGTTGGCCCACAAATTTTTTTTCGGTACGAGGCATATATCCGATCTGGTCGACTTACATAAACTTCGTTGTTTTTTATGCTATCTGTCAGCTGCATGTTGAATGCGTCAAAAGAGCAGCGACAACATCATGTTTTTAAATTTTTTTATGAAATGCTAATGTGGAAAATGCGTATTTAAATTTATTTTATTTTTATAAATTTTTTTCAAAACAAATATCAACTAACGAATGAATGAAAACCGGTCCAAATTCCCGGTTTTTCGACAGAAACGGTTCTTTAAATACTCGGAACCGCACATCACTACACCACAGCATTCATCCTTTTCGGTATAACATCTATCGGCAAATTAAACTTACCTACCTCATAATTGTGCGTGCTTACATTTCTTTCCGTTTTGACATTCTAGATTTCTCAAGAAAAAACAAAATATATGGCAGGGTTGTGTTTGCTCTACTGCTATAATCTGTTTAATATGCCTTGGGTAGTTCCGCACAAACAGCGAGTGTCTGGCATTTTTAATGAAATTTTTTCTTTGATTCTCTTTGTTTTCCAAACAAATTTTTTTGTTGATTTGAAATAAAAAAATATTAAATACAGTGATTGAAACAAATAAACACGTGTTGAGTTCTTTTTTAAATATTCGTATGTTTTTCGAGCTAATTTTTTTTGTTATATTTCTATAAAACTACCGTCCAAGCTTTAGTCAAAACCATATAAATTACAGTATCAAAATTTTTTTTGTTGAAAATTTGTTGAATTTCCCCAAAGTTTGAAACTGTGATTTATATGGGTTTGGTTAAAGCTTGGACGGTATTTTTATAGTAAAATAATAAAAAAATAGCTCCAAAAATATTACGAATTTTTAAGAAAAATCAATACATGGTCATTTGTTTGAGTTACTGATTTATAATGTGGCTACTGGAAAATGGGTTAATGCAATGACAAAACTGTTCTCAAATAAGCGTATCGAAAATAAATATTATATACATATATTGATTTTACTTTGTTTATTACACTATGACTACCTCTAAAATATTTGTATCATGAACGTAATGACAAGGGCATTTTTGCATTGACAACTTTGTAATTAAAAAATGTTGTCATTTAATGCTTAGTGGAAATACGGCATTATAATTACGTGATTTCAATGTCTTGAAATAGTTCTCCTATCCAAGCGATGGCAAGGCAATAATGTTGGAATAGCTGTATAAGAAGTTCAGCTTCATCGAGCATTTCTAGTCTTTCCACACGTTGTCGCTCGACCTGCGATATACTTTGATAAACCTGCACCATGTCCCAGGCCCGACTTCCTGTCCACCCGCATTCGAGAAATCTACTCATTTGTGTATCTAAAGAAATACACGACTCAACGCCAGCTAAACTGCAACCCCTACTTCGCAAGTTGTTCAGCATAACTTCCCCAAATCTGTCGTTCATATTGACCTTAGTAATAAAAGCAAACAGAAATCTCTTATATTTTGTTATATAAAAGTGCAATACAAACGAAAGTTCTACCTGCTCGTAGTTAACAAAAACAGCAGTACTAAATTTACTAGCAATCCACTTGAGCAAATTTTTGCAATTCTGTGCCTCGATATACACTAATACACACTCGGCAAGAAAAATCGTCGGAAGGCCGTAGTCAATTTCAGCTTGTTGAAGTTTATTATCCAAATCGTCGACATTGCGAAGGTCAACACCCATCAGGTGATAGTTTGGACCATGCAAATCGGTTGTGCTAAGACGAACTTCGCCATCTTCGTCATGGATTTTGGCGAGTAAAGCTTTGTTGCGCTTAATAGTATAGCATTTTCGGGCGGTGACTGTAGGAAAATCCAGCTCAATAAAATTTTTTATCTGATGTAGTGCATCCCTCAGGCGAAAATACAAGGTATCGAATCCACACCCTAGATTTATGATTTGGCAATTTCCATCAGTTTTCTAAAAAAATACAATCAAATATATAAAAGTTTATTCAAATGTTGTTTATATGTGTGTGTCAATAAGGAATAACTGCTTAAGTTGAAGGCCGACTTTAGTTTATTTTTTACTTTATTTTATTGACCTTATTACACAAATTAAAAGGAGTTTTTTAATGGGAGTGTTCGAATATCGAGGCAGAGTGCTAGCCTCAAAATTACTTCGTTCTCATACACTTAAAAATAGCATTTAAATGCCTGCCACTACCACTGTAAAAGTTTGAACTATAAATTCACGAATTCATACAAGGTGAAAGCGGCAGCACATAAACAAAAAACTATAGCAAACATATTCTGAGCGTTCAGAATATATGAGTGCGAAAGGACCCCTAGGTGGGTAAAAAATATGAGTTTCAAAAACGAAAAAATTTTCACTCTGATATGAATCTTTGTGCCAATATAAACACAATACAGACTCGAAATTTATATCTAAACTAGTTCACACAAGGTGCATTAAACAAGGTGTGATTGACAACTCAGTGCGGCTCTCTTTTAAGGTACAATAATATCAAAAAATATAAACTACCGATTCAAAATTCACCTCTAAAATGTTTTTGAAGAACACCGAATCCGTTAAGCCAGTGCAGTAACTTTGGGTAAAATACTTTCAGCGTTTTTGCTGATTATACCATATCGAGCCCTAACCGCCAAAAAAACGTAAGCGACATATTTTTCAAAAGTTTTCTTTTTGATGCAGAAATGCCCGGGCACCCTGAAATTGTGCATATGGAAACTGTGCATACGAAATAATGCATATGAAAAAAACCGAAATAATGCATACGAAAAAAACCGAAATAATGCATATATGCACAGTTTCG